GCGCTAGATCGAGTCTTCATTATTCGTTCTTATCATTCCTTACTATTCATCATAGGAAGTTTTCCTTACCACCTCTTTAAAAGCATCTTTAAATCCACTGCTCGATATAAGTTCTTAACTACAGCAACTAAAGGCGTTCAACTTCAACCTTTCAAAGATTGGACAAAAGATTTACAAATATGATATCATAAGTTTTAATTCGAAACCAATCTCTTTTAATTTTGAGAGATCTCATAAAACATTCTATATTTGAAAATTATAATCTCTATATAGTATAAAACAAAGTCACTTTCCGCTGTCTGTACGCTTAGATCTTTTAAACTACGCAACTTATTTTAAAGCGGTTTTCATTAATTGATATAATAATTCAAGCGAAACGTTTGTTTGTATAATATATGCATATTATATATTATGTAATTCTTTTGTCCGTGTGTATCTGACCGAACTTTTCCTAAACGGCTGGACCGATTTTGATGAAATTTTGTGTGGGATTAAGTTGACTAGAGAATGATTTAGATTCACAATTGGTCTCGATAGATGGCGTTGTTATCAAGATCTAGAAAACAAACGTGCGAAGCCGGGGCGGATCGCTAGTCTGCTATATAAACCAATGCATCGAATAAGTACAAAAGTTCGTAATAAAATAAACGGTAACCACAATTCCTATTCGAATGAACTTCTTTGTCCCTTTATCAGTGTCGTTTTATTCGCACATGTAAATGCATTTAGCTCCCACCTCCTTATCTCGCCGAACACCATTAATCTTGTATAACAATGTCCCGGCACTGTGACCGCGCATCGATGGCTTAATCAAGCCTCTGAGTATAATTTTAGCAGTATTTTTGCATAATACAGATAGCGCTACTCTGAAAGATATCCGTACATTCCATAAGGTCTAAAAGATCGATCTCAGCTTTAATCGTGCCACTGTAGGTGTTACACCGGCAGAGTTTAATTAAGATATCTACAGATCATTCGTGATATCAAAACCTGTGCATATACGTTATATACTAAGAGATTTTAGACTCGGAGATTTCTCTTTTAATTCACAACATCTGCCGTCCATGGCATTGTTTTCATTTGCTTACGTAATGTTTAAATTAGCCGTATGACCATTGCTGCTTAAGGCTTGAATAGATATTATCTGTTGATGATTTACCTACCGCCTAATGAGATGCAACTCTGCCATCCCGGGGCTCAATCCCGGGTCGAAGAAGATCTCTATTAACTATATAACTTAAGTACTTAGCACATGAATTAGTGATCCCATTACTAGAATTTGGATACTACTGTCAGTCATGATATGAAGCCAAATATAATAATTGGGCAAAAATAATAAAAAATATATACGTGGTAGGGCCATGCTGCAGCTATATTAGTAGTATAGTTCACTGACAGAATACCAGCGTAAAACAGTAGCTTAACGCTGCTGTGTTTCGTATGGTAAGCATAGAGAACCGGAGACCCTTTTTTACTGAAAAAGAGGCATTCCATCTTAGTCCTCACGGGTGACGACGCATCTGCATTTTGATTCGCAAACGAGGATAGATGTGGATATCTATGGTTCACAGCAACCACTTACCATCAGGGGGACTGTGTGCTCGTTTGTCACCCCATCCTATAAATTAAAAAAAATTAGACCCTAAGAAGTAGTAGAAATCTAGATAGTAGAAGTCCTTTCCTGCCTAGTCTGTGCAGGTACCAACCTCTCACTTATGTCTGCCGCCAAACAGTGTTTTGTTCCGATCCGAAAGGTATTGAGAACCAGTATAATTTAAGCTGTAGGGTATTCTATTCTTAGACGTCTTTATATGAAGATGGTTGCAAGCATTAAGTTATATGTACTACGTACTAGGAAAGCTATTTCAAACAAAAATTGTGCGCTACTCCATGTCTTCGCGCATGCGCAGGAGATAGTAGATTCGCGTATGCTCGAAGACTTTAATTCAATATAAAATAAGATATTAATATAAAATAAATATAAGGAATTAATATAAAATACTCTTATATTAATCTAATCAAACATACGGCTCCATGGCGCACCCTCTTAGCAATGAGTTATTGCGCTGGGGGTCGCGGGTTCGATTCCCGCACGGAACAAGTATTTGTATGGCCTACAAATAATTGTTCCGGGTCTGGATGTTTGTCGTCGTGCAATTTATGTTTGTAAACTGCCTCCACGACACAGGAAAAAATCCTAGTGTGGGGGTAACGTTTTTTTTTAAGAAAAAAAATATTTGTAAATAAAATGTAATAATAATTATCTTATGGAATTCGCAAATCTTCAATTTACGCAATACTCGTAGTTAGTTTAGTGTACGGATTGCAGTACAGTTCAGTTGAACATAGTCAATGTTCGGAATGCGAAATCTATTGCGTAGTACATATATATCGATGGTTGCAAGTGTCTATGGGCTGCAGTACCATCAGGTGTTCACCTTTTGTTAGTTCAATTTTTACCTCAATTTTATAAAAAAAGTGCGACTACTATGTTTGTTTTCATAAATCTGATATTAAATTCGAATGGCATAGATTCTTTCCTCGTATTCCATTGGATAAAATAAGTGGATAAAAATTATGGCATTATTTACATTTTTTTAAGAGTAAGGGTGACAAAGGGGCATAAAGTCCACCCGATGGTAAGTGGATGCTGTGTCCCATTGACATCTATATCTATCCTACCATGTGGTACTTAAAAGTTATTTATTTTAATTAATAAGAACCTTCTCAATTATAATTTCCATCTCTAGTGGTCCTATAACATTTACTATCTTTTTATTTAACAATAGGATTGTCTGTATAGTGTTAGTCTGTATAATGATACTAGCTTTTTGCCTAGCATTGTTACCCGCGTTCAAGTTGTAATTTTCCGATAATTATGACCCACGCTTATTATGACACCGCATAATATGGAAAGTTCAGGGTATCACATGTAAACTTTCTCATATTTTGAAGGATAATGAATACAGATTTTAGGTTAAACAAAGGCCTTTCAAATAGTGAAAACCATCCTGAAAATCGTTCACTTCCATCTCCAGTACATTTATTTCTCCTTATTATTTAATTTACATTTATTAAATTTTTTTATAATTATATTTATATTTTTTTTATAATTAATTACTTTTTTATAGCTGTAGACTTGCGAAACACCTTGGCTCTACATCGCCGTGCTCATTCCATTCATTTCCTTTAAAAATCTACTGAATAATTCTCGTTCTTTCTTGTATCTATCCTACTTTCTTCAATTGTCATCATCTCGTGGTTTTGTTTTTTACATATCTGTATAATTTATGTATACCTTCTTCCTGGCCATTGGTTGAGAACAATTCCTTGCGTAATAAGGTTGTCTGAAATCGCTTCCAGAGCGATGAGACCGCCTATTCTACCTTCTTCGTTTATTTCAATTTTTTTTTAATGTTTGTAGGTGTATAATAAAGACTATATTTAGTGATTGAAAGAAAACCGCATCTAAATAGTTTACAATATTAATAATTTGTTTTATTTACGGATTACATTTAGTAAGCCTCGAGTCAATCCCTCTGTAAAGTAAAAAGTTTCATGTAACATACGTCGTAAAAGGTAGATTCTGTCCAATTTTCAGATTTCTACGTCTAGCTTTTTGGGCTGTGAAGATGCAAAGGGTGTGAGGGTGGTAAATTTATTTTAAATACAAACTTTGCACCCTCGTTTTAAGGCATTGAAGTTAGATTTTTGAAAAAAATGAAAATTGTAAATTTTATAATGTTAATTCAATATATGCACCAATTTTCTAATTAAAAAGAAACAATTATTTTTTTTTTCGTAAAAATTTCATCATCCTCTGGCCTCAGCATCAACAGGTTTAAGATAATAAAATTTCACAAACTACTTATTAAATTATTTATGTATTTTCGCCTGTTTATATAAGATGTAAAAGTTTTTAGACTTTCCATAATGATTAGGGTTTCAGTAAATTAGACAGGTTTATGAAAATAATTATGAGAGTCTTTAAGTAAGTGTATACGTTACTCTCATTATATTGTACTCGGTTATTGTTTTTATAATAAAATATTCCTATAAAAAACAAGCCGTAATATGTTCAGAGATCGGATATATTTCATAGCATTTCTGAAAATATTTTTTTATTAAAAAATACGTTACCCCCGAGCTAGTATTTCCTTCTGTATTGTGGAGGCAGTTCACAAGGACATTCGATTAAGACCTGGAACAATTATTAATAAAGCCATACAAATACTTGCTCCGTGCGGGGTTCAAGCCCGCAGACTCGGCGGTCTCGCGCTGCAACTCATTGCTAAGCCACTCCGCTACGGAGCCGTCAATGGAGCGCCTGAAAAAAGGAAACATCGTTAGGATAAATCAATGAGAAATAAAATATACTTTGAAGATTGTGTAGTCTGAGGAAATAATGAATGTACATAGTACGTTTATCAGCAGCGTGTCTTAAATAGGCTAACTATTTTTAGTAAGTTTTATTGTTTAGTAAGTTTAGAATAGAATGATCAAATTCACAATTATAACAATAAAAATAAGGAAAACATGTTACTTTAAACTTATTTCAAACGTTTAATTATTATCATTGCATAGGAGAAAGAAATTACAGCTTAGTTAAGCGTTTTCTGGGGCACTCCGGGTCAAAGATTGATTCTGCACGAAACAAATAATATTATAAAATCTGCAAATAATAATTGTTCCGTGAATTTTTCATGTACTTACATAATTATGTATGTCGCCTCCATAATATAGAAGAAACTCCTAGTGTAAATATCAGAATAAGGAAAAATAAAATAAAAATTGTTTAAAATACCTTTATAATGTCTTTATACCATTTGCTCGCATAATGTTAATCATAAGTTATCAGTTAGTTATCATATATTACTTTCACAGTAAAATATTTACAAATATGTTAAAGTTTAAATTGACTAAAGTAACATATTAAAATATATGTACAACAGATTAGTTTGACTAGACATCACTTTATAAATACGAATAATATTTAATTATTACTTCTGTTGCCACCATGTCATTGCATCGAGTAACTCTGTGTCATCCATTCGTGTCGTCAAATCGTCGTTAATATAACTCATCTCTTCAGTATTTTGATAATTCATGAATTTATCATTACAAGGAGAATATTCCGACGACACTCCAGATGAACACTCCGAATTGCCTGGAGAAGGCACAGATTCTGAATATGGAGAACTTATATCCCCAAACACTCCCTCATCTTCGTAAGTAACTGGTATTCGGCTAACAAACGGCTCCCTTTTATCAGCGATGCCCACAGCCGCATCGCTTTCATCGATCAGTCGTTGCAAATATTTTATGTATTCAACGACCATTCTCAATGTGTCCACTTTGCTGAGTTTCTTGCCTGATCCACGGCGCGCTCCTCCCGATAAAGCGGCCACGATAGGCGCAGGTAATCTCTTCCTTAATGCATTAAATCCATCATTCACTTGTTTCACGCGGTTCCTTTCTCGAGCGTTTCTTCTGGCAATTGATGCCGTTTGCGCGCCAACATACGGGCTTTTGTAATTATACTTCGTATGTGTATCCGCGTTTGCAAAGTCAGATACATGTTTTAGTTCTGGTGTTGGAGCGATAGGCACTAGTTTAAGTAAATCGTTTCTTGAGTACGATGATATATATGCCATTTTATAATCAGCTGTATTACTTTTGAATGAGAAATTCAAATTTCAACTGATCGTATTTACAGGACGTGCTAAATAACGAATTAAAGTTTTTGGAGCCTTGACTACCTCCACAACGAAATAATGAATGAAATACGCCAACACCCGCGCTGGGTTTTATGGCAATGCCGTAGCAGAAAAAAATAATAGGGATATCTCCCACCCCTACGTGAAGGTTGTATTCCTTTTTTATATTTGTACCTGGAACACTTCAAAACGTGGGCTAGAGACCCTTTTCGTACACGTGCCGTCAAATTTATTTTGACCATTAATTGACCAACAATTTTATTTGTCAAACTTTTTTTCCGAAAATTTTAAACAATATAGGTATTTGGTGTCAAAATGTACATTTTATTTAAATATTTACAATATTTACAATACCCTTCGCCAAATTGTACAGAAGTCCGAGGAGTACAATTTGCCACTATGTCTGGCGTATGTGGACTATGAGAAAGCCTTTGATTCCGTCGAAATTTGGGTGGTGCTGCAGTCCCTTCAGCGATGCCAAGTTGACTGTCGGTATATCGAAGTGTTGAAGTGCTTGTACAGTAGGGCTACGATGGCTATCCGAGTACAGAACCAGAGTACGAAACCTATCCAATTGCAGAGAGGTGTAAGACAGGGTGACGTCATATCCCCGAAACTCTTTACCGCTGCATTGGAAGATGTTTTCAAGCTTCTGGACTGGAAAGGATACGGTATCAACATCAATGGCGAGTACATCACTCACCTTCGATTTGCCGATGATATAGTCCTTATGGCAGAATCGCTGGAGGACCTAAGCACTATGCTCAATGACCTCAATAGTGTTTCCCAACGGATAGGTCTTAAGATGAACATGGACAAAACAAAGATCATGTTTAATGTCCATGTCACACCTATGCCGGTAGTTGTTGGGAACACTAAGCTCGAAGTTGTTGACGAGTATGTTTACCTGGGACAAATAGTCCGACTAGGTAAGTCCAACTTCGACCGAGAGGTCAATCGACGGATTCAACTCGGTTGGGCAGCGTTCGGGAAATTACGGCACATCTTCTCGTCAGGTATACCTCAAAACTTGAAAACGAGACTGTACACCCAGTGCGTGTTGCCAGTGATGACATACGGAACTGAGACGTGGTCCTTCACTGCTGGCCGGATGAGGAAGCTCAAGGTCGCTCAGCGAGCTATGGAGAGGGCTATGCTCGGAGTTTCTCTGCGTGATAAACTCAGAAATGAGGATATCCGCAGTAGAACTAGAGTGACCGACATAGCCCAACGGATTAGTAAGCTGAAGTGGCAATGGGCCGGCCATATAGCTCGAAGAACCGACAACCGATGGGGAAGAAAGGTTCTCGAGTGGCAGCCTCGTACCGGCAGGCGAAGTGTAGGGCGTCCCCCCACTAGATGGAGTGACGACCTGGTAAGATATGCAGGAAGTCGATGGATGCAGGTGGCTCAGGACCGTGCTTTGTGGCATTCTTTGGGGGAGGCCTATGTTCAGCAGTGGACTTGTGAAGGGCTGTAATGATGATTACAATATTCATTTTAACATATCAAGCCTGCAAATATTCAAATGCTGGGTTTGGGTCTTGGTCGCCAACAGAAGGCGTTTTTCCATTATGTTCTTTTTTATAGGATAAGGGTGACAAGTGAGCACACAGTCCACCTGATGGTAAGTGGTTGCTGATGCTCATATACATCTACATCTATCCGCGTTTGCGAATCAAAATGCAGATGCGTTGTCAGCCGTAAGGACTAAGATGGAATGCCTCTTTTCCAGTAAAAAGGGTAAAGGTTCTCTCCAGTCACGAGACCACTCCGTGGCGCAATGGCTCAGCAATGAGTTACTGCTCTAAGGGCCGCGGGTTCGAATGCTTCACGGAACAAATATTTATATCTACATATAATTGTTCCGGGTCTGGATGCCCCCACGATGTTTCGTATGGTGAGAGTAGAGAACCGGAGACCCCTTTTTACTGGAAACTAGGCATTCCATCTTAGTCCTCACGGGTGACAACGAATCTGCATTTTGATTCGTAGTTGAGGATAGATGTAGATGTCTATGAGCCACAGTATGTCTATAAACCACTTACCATCAGGTGGACTGTGTGCTCGTTTGTCACCCTTATCCTATAAAAAAACCGCCTGGTTCTTCGATGGTGGAAAGGGGTGGGAGGAATTAACGCATGTTATTCCTGCGCACAATCTCCTAAATGCATCCGATAGAATATCATGAGGCTGGCTACTCCACATCTGTGCCCAAGGCTGACAAGATTGGTTTCAACCAAATCAAGGTTACCAATAAGCCTCTTAGCACGATCCTCCGAAAATGCATGGTTTGACTCAACAATGCATTTTGGAGCATCAGCCTATATGTGACAGCAGTACTGCATGCATGACCGGACTTGCGCTATAAATAAGTTAAGAAGCAGCCCGGTGTGAAGTACCACTGCAATCTTGCTAGGACACCCAGTTTCCTAGTTAGTTGATTGGTTGGTTTGACTGATTGAGTTGTGTGAACTCCTAGATCCTTTAATTTGGTATAGTTTTATTTTAAAACATGCTTCAATTATTAAAGAGGCCATTGATTTAATTCGCATCATCTTATAAGTTTAGTAGTTAGTAATGGTGGCGAATGTGATCCACTTCCACATACAATCCCATGGGTTATATAACAAGATTATAACGACTGAAATTCCATGTGCATTTCGACTTTTACTCTAGGAGAAATATAGGTGGATACTGTGTATGTGCCAGAGCATCTAGTTACTATCATGTATACATATAAAAGAAATTGAAGTGTCTGACTGTAATATTGAATTAATTGGTTTCTATTAAGGTCAGGGGTTATTTGCTTTTTTATATATGCTTTTATATATATTATATATTTAGACATAAATAACCATTCTTGTAATGTTTTTCTGTCTGTCTATCTGTTTGTCCGGACTATCCTTGGAATGGCTGAACCGTTTGTGATGAAACTTTACAGATAGAGCACAATTCCAGGGAAGATCCATGCTACATTTTATTCGAAAAACTAGAATTTCCTTTTTTTGTAAAAACGAAATATTTCAAAAATTAATGATCTTTAATTAATTAATCTGTCTCATTTAGTTGAGAAGCAGGGAGAGATCGCTAATTAAATGAAATAAGTTGACCATGAGATCATACGACATAAGCGTTACTTTAAGAGAAGTTGAACACGAATTGTGGTTCGATTCATTATCATCTAAAAGTCCTTATTTTAGAATGTTACTACCCTACGCTAAGTCAAAGCCTTGTAAGTAAATATTTTTAAACACAATTTGAGTTATAAATAAAAATCCAATAAGGGCATATAATGCGCAGTGTTTAATTTATTACGGTTGCTTAAAATTAAAAGAATTCAAGCAATGTTTTATTGTATTTGTAGCAACAATACTGACAGAAACGAATAGAAATACCTAGCAGGTTAAGCAAATACAAATAAATAAGATCTTTAAGATCATAACCTGTAGAGTTCTTTTGCATTTACTCCATATTATTTTCTACTTTTAAAATGCAACTTGCACACTAGGCGGCATCACCTTCAGTAAATATCTGAAAAAAGTTTATATTAATTTAGGACGAGCATCAGTATTTTACACGGTTCTGAATAGCGAGGGGCCAGCCATTGTCACATCCATTGTGCCGTAAAAAGATTACACAGGGAATGTGGGCCATACCATTGAGTGCAAAGAATGAATTGTTTAGAAGCTTTCAATCATTTCCATTGAAGGAGGCGCTAAACTTGATTTTAATAGACTTCGTGTCGCCTCGGTGAAGTCATTCGTTTTTAATTTTGTGCCTTTAATTCTTTGTTACCTGCTTACTGCTTTTGAATATTGACTTCAGTAAATTTAATATATCCAATAGATTGTGTAAAATTAAATAAATTTAAATCAACTTAACATAATTTATTTAATTTTTCTTAAACACTAGCGAGATTTTCATAATTATCAAAAATGTTCTTTAAATTATCCAGTAGTTTAAATCTATAATTAAAAAATACTCTATCGATGACATCACTTATCACTATCACACTTCTATTTTATTTTTTAAATGGGATATTACGTTATGATATAGTTTTAATCGTTTTTAATTTGATTTCTTTAAACATATTTATTCCTATCTAATATCGCATACATAATCTATTTTTGATAATATATCCCTAGAGTCCTATAACTTCTCACATACGAAACGACAATAGCTCTAGAAACGAAAAGAAAATAGAACCGATCCATCATTTTAGCTCAAATATTGTTCGTGCAGGCGAATTCGCTAAACATAATAAAATTGTGGGAGTGATACAAGGAAGCATAAAGTACACGTACAATAGCTCCACGGGCGTGCTCACAAAGCGATCGTCAAATAACATTTAGCCAGCCCACACCTTAGGAAATCGCAAAATAGAGATGTCTCTGAAACACAAAGCCGTATGAAGGGCATACGGAACCATAACCGATAATTACAACCTTTGTTGACTTTGTGATCCTGAAATACCAACTACAAAACTTCGAATGGCATTTATTGTTGAAAATCGCGATTACAATTTAAAAAAAAAACCTTTTATTAAATATTGGTTAATCGAAAAAATAAAAACATATATAAATATATTGTATTAAACTTGTAATTTAATTTTAAAAAGTTAAGGGATCAAACCTGGGTTGCTCACGTACTGTGACAAATACGTACAATTTAAGAGCGAGCGTTTAGCATCACAGCTATTACGGCTCTGCTTACACAAGAAAAAAAAATAAGGCATTTTACTTTGCATATACTCGTAAGTTATTAAAATGCAAATTCAACTCTTGCTTTTTAATAGACACATTCTGCCGAATGAACAAAACTAGTAGTAGTCGGACAGTTTCATTAGCAAACAAAATATGTGGCCAATATTTATGTAAAGTTCGTACAACCCAAGCAGATACGATACCTGGTGGTCCGTTCTGCACTGGATAAGT